TTTTCTGGAATTTGAACGTGCTTCATCTGCGATGCTGAGGACACCTCTGCTAATGTGTCCTTCAGAGCCAGGCCGGCCGCCGGGGGCGTCCGGGCGTCTCCCCCACAGGCCCCAACACACTGTGGTCCCAAGGACAGAACCCTGAGCCTCTCGCAGGCCCAGCTGTGACCCACTAGCCCGCAGGCGATAGGCCGTGAGCCCCTGACCCCTGGCCCTCTGCTCCGGGGACTTTACCCAGTCGTCAGTCTTCGTGGGGTTCCCCAGCCACTCCGTCCGCAGTGCCCGTTTTTATTGTTTATTTCCTGTTCCCCACTCCTTTCCGGTTGGTACCTATCCCTCACCCTGCTTGCAGCTCCCTCTGCCGCTAGAGGGCTGGGCCTGGCACAGAGCCGGCGGGGGGGGGGGGGCCCTGAGGCCCGGCCCCCCCCCACCCCGGGGGCCTCCCCCAGGCGCCGCCGCAGCCTCTCACTCAAAAACACTCTGGGAGCGAACTGCGAACTGCGTGTTCGAGAGGACGAGGACGAGAACAAAGTTGGATTCATTGTTTCAAAACTTATGAAAATACACATTCACGAGGCGGGGAGATGGCATCGGTGCCCTGGGGTCTCCCTGGGGTCCGGACCGCGCAGCCCGGTCCGGGCGAGTCTCTGCCCGCACAGGGGCTCCAGCGCCCTCCTTCAGGCAGCAGCGACGCGTCGGGCCTCTGGCTGAAGCAGGAAGGCGACGGGGAAGGCCAGGCAAGCCGGCCAGTAAAACCCAGAGCTTCAGGGGTTTAAAAATCCTATCCACCTATTGCCCATTTTTAAGGGTCAACAAGGCGTGATTTCCACACTGACCACATGGGGGCACCCCTGGGCCGGGCCATGGGGGCTGGGGGGGCAGTGTGGGTGAGTGGGGGCAGCCTGCCCAGGGAAACCTGCATTTCCCCATTTTTCGAAAGGGGAAGTGGGCTCCGGGAAACGGAAGCCACCCCAGATCTTGGCTGACCCCGGGCAGGGGCGGGTCAGAGCCGGGAGGTGCCGTCACGGCTGCACACTCAGCAACCCCACATGATGGGTTTCCAACCACCAGTTCACATGTGCACTTCTGTGCATCCTAGGCTTTTCCCTTTAAAATTAAAAAAAATTATGAGGGGCGCCTGGGTGGCTTAGTCGGTTAAGCGTCCGACCTTCACTTAGGTCATGATCTCGCAATTCGTGGGTTCGGGCCCCGCGTCAGGCTCTGTGCTGACTGCCAGCTCAGAGCCTGGAGCCTATTTCGGAGTCTGTGTCTCCCTCTCTCTCTGACCCTCTCTCGCTCACGCTGTCTCTCTCTCTCTCCTAGAAATAAATAAAATTATTTTTTAAAAAATTAAATTAAATTAAATTAAATTAAAAAAAATTATGAAATATTTAACACATGCAGAAAGATCTACCCAATGAATTTCCACGTTCCCACGCATCCACCTCCTGCTGTCTAGGCTGGGGGTGGGGGGAGCTGGCACCACTCCTTTTAAACTCCTCATTCTCAGGTGACTTTATGTTGTGCAGTTTATAGCAGGACAAAGCTGGCGTGACCTAAATCCCTAAACTAGGGATGCAGGGAGCCTGGGGCCAGCGGCCGCGGGTCTGCGGGTGTGGACGCCAGGGCTGGCGAGAGGAGCAGGTCAGGACGGCCTCTGGGCCAGAAGCCACTGCCTCGGGAGGTGCTGTGGGAGGGGAACCGGCCCGAGAGAGGACTGCCGGAGGTTTCTGCACTCAGACCATGCGAAGCCCCCGTGCTCTGCCTCACCTGTGGACACAGAGACGAAGTACTTGTCACACTGGGTCTCTTCTCGCAGGCACTCACTTGGTTCCAGCACTCTCCGTGTCAGGTCCATCTCAGGCAGGAATAACCGCAATGTCTGATGGCGTCTGGGCCGCTCGGAGCCAGCCCCGCGCTGTGGCGCGGACATTTCTCTGCACTCTGCTTCCGCAGTTAAATTGTGAACTAGAGAAAGAGCAGCTGCAGCGTGGGGCTGACCTGGCTTCCGATTTTGTCCTACATTTACCCCCAGGCTCGGTCCCTCCCTAGGGTTACACGGGAAATGGCACCTGGGTGGTGTCCCTGGTGCATGACGTTAATCACAGGGCCCGTTTCATCATCGCAGTCACGGCCAGGATGTCAGCACGGCTCCTCGGAGCTGTTGCTCATCCAGGCGGCTGACTTGAGCAACCGTGAGCACACGGCAGTGAGACAACGCGTCAGCCTCCGCTTCCTGCCTCCCGGCGAGGCTGCAGAGCCAGGCGGGAGCCCGCAGCCCAGGTGTGCCGGAGAGCTGCGTCCCTTCCATCTTGCTAGCCCTGCACAGCAGCCCCCGAGGTGTGTGTGCCGGGATCGGACCCGCAGCTCAGGCCCCAGGTCCTGAGAGCCAAGGCCAGGTGGTCCCCTGGGGAGCATCCTGTGGCCTGGGGTGGGGCCCCCCATAACTGGGATGAGGACCCTCAGAGTTTGTGGCACTGTGCTAGGGTCCCAAGTCCCCACAGAAGGATCCAGAAGCCTCTTGGGCCTATGTTGTGCTGGTCTGACCATGAGGTTGCTCCAGGGGTCCGGGGAAAGAGAATGGGGTAGGGCACAGCGGCACCCTCATGTTTCACTTGTCACCCGCTTTGTATGGGCCCCAAGGGAGCCCCTAACTCTGCAGCCTGCGGCACGCACCAGTCTCTCCGGCGCCTGCACCCCCAGCCGCACGCACACTGGGGAGGGCCTGAGCGGGCGTGGGGGGGGGGTCTGCTCTCCGCAGGGGCTCCAACCCCACCTGACCTGGGGGCCCACGTGGAGTACCCTGGACAGCACTCCAGCCCCACACAAGGGATGCAAGCTGGCCACAGGAAGTCCTGTGACATCACTGTCATCCAAGGTCATGGGTGCTGCCCAACCAGGGGGAGTCTGTGCGGAAGGGGCTTCCCATACATGGTAGCCCAGGATCCAACACAGGCTGGAGGGGCAAGTGCGAGCCTGAGGTCCTGGCTTCACAGCTTCCCCCGTCCCCGTCCGGCCCAGGCCCGAGTCAGCTCGGAATTCAGAACCCACAGCCAGGAATTCAGAACCTGGTGCCAGAACCTGCCAACCTGTCCACCGGGTCTACTGTCCCCGGTGTGTGTCCCCGGGGTGGGGAAGGGTGTCCCTCCGGGAGCTAGGCTAAGCCAGAGGGTAGCCTCCGGCCCTTGAGCAGGCCCTCCGGAGCCTCACCTTGGGTGGCTGAGCCTGCGCTGGTGGCACAGAGCTGAACTGTTCCTTCAGCCGGGGTGGGGCTCATACACCTCAGCCAGAGGTCTCCCTGCCCGTGCCCCCAGCCATGGGGCTGACCCTCCAGAGGCTGCAGTGGGGGTCCAGCCCCTGGGCCCATCTGCAGGCCAGCAAGCCGGGCCTGTGTTTGGGCCACAGGGCTTCTCATCTGGAAGGGGCCCCCGCCTCCAGGCACCAGATGCTCAGGGCCGGCTCTCCGGTGCCTGACGGGGACAGGCCCCTGCCAGGGCAAAACCATCACCTCGGGCCATGCTCCCCCAGCTCCAACCTCATCTCTAGCCCGAAACCCAGCCCTTGGGGCCACCTCTACTGGTGAGCACATGGGTGTGACCAGGCACACAGGTACACACAGCAGCCCTGTTTCATCAAGGGACCAACCAGCTTCATGAGTGTGTGTCTGCACATGTCTGGGCCCTGGAGCCGACAGGCAGCCCCACCTGCTGTATCCCCAAAGCAACAGGAGAGTTCAGGAATGCCCCCCACCTCCCACCCCGCCACACACACCCTGGCTCCTGCAGGGGCCTGGGCAGGACGCAGGTCTGGGGTCTAAAGCCTCCGGGGCCTGTCCTGACTCAGGCTCTTGGCCGTGGGAGCCCCCATCTCTGGGCTCATTTCCGGGCTCTCACTTAACACCAGGAACAAGCAAGTGACATTTGTAGCCCAGATGCCCACAACTGGCGGGGTCTAGACCCTTGAGCAAGAGCCTGCCCCCTCAACTGAGATGTGAACACCCCCACACTGATCTCTAGAAGCCCTACTACTTGAGGCCTGGACCCCCACAAACCCTGAGGCTCCTCGTTCTCCAGGGGCGGGCTGCACGGGAGGCCTCTGAGACGACCACTCCCGGGCCCTTCCAGTGGCGGAGGCTCTTCCAGAACCGCCCTCCTCCTGCATGTACGCCCCCCAAGCCCCCCAGCCCACCTTGGGGCCTGGCTGCGGGCCGAGTCAGCGCTGGCCCAGGAGTCTCCACGGGCCTCCTGGCTGGGGGCAAACCCCCTGCCTCAGCTGTGCTCCTCAGCAGCTTCGCCCCGGTTCTCTCAACAGCCTCAGCCCTGCCCTCTGAGCCCAGAGCCCTGACCCAGGCCTCAGCGGCTTCGGGGGCCGAGAGACGCGCTGTCTGACTCAGGGAGGCCTGGGCTCTGACTCAGGGCTCTGCTGACTCGCAAGCCCTGGAGGTGGTTTGTGGCTCTGCCGCAGCTTCCTGAGTCCCCAACAGTGGCTCGGGACCCAGAAGTCGGCGGGAGGATGCAACCCCCAGCCTGTCCCCTCCAGTGTACTGCCCCGAAGTCCCCAACCCAGGGACAGGGACCCCACGTGCAGGTCGTGGGCCTATCCCACGGTGAGAAGGCCACAGCGACACCGGCTGAAGCTCCAGCTCCACCCTGACCCCCAAACTCTCCCGAGCAAAGTGCAGGGACCGGTGGGTCCACTTGGGGTCTCTGCAAAGCCCCTAGACCCACGCACGGAGGGCGGCCAGTGCCTGCACCGCCAGCTCTGATGGCCCTTCCCAACCCTCGCGTGCTCCCTAGGCGGAGAGAGGCCGGGCCCCAGAGACACGCTTCCCAGTGTGCTATGTCTACGGAATCCAGAATCCTCCACAGGACTTGGGTTTGGCTGACACAGGATGTTGCTGGTTGGCCCAGCCCTGCTCCCCCTCCCCTGCAACCACAATACCCTACAGACCGGAACTTTCTGTGCTCACAGACACAATGAGGACAGGACACCTCAGGGACTCAAGGGAACGAGACCAAGTCTTGATATCCCAACGGGTCTCTGGGGTGGGCTGGAATCTCCGGCCTCTGCTGCGTGGACGTCCGCACACCGAGGCCCCTGGGACACTCTGTACACATGTCCCCACTCTGCTCCTGCTGGACGGTGCACAGACACAAGCAGAAGGGCCCCTGGTCTGGGGGAGTTCCATGTGGACTCAAGTTCAAGGTCTAGCGGACTTGGGAGGGGTGGCCACTCGGAGGAGCCTTTCTCCGGTGTCACTCTCGGTCACTGGGGCTCGTTCCCAGGTCTCGTCAGCTCTCCAATCCGCTGGTCCTTCAGCTTTACCAGGTGCTCCAGCCTGACCACCTTCATCTGCAAAATCTTCAGGAAAGCACAGAACCCTGAAAGGCAGCACGCTGTCCATGGGCTGGGGCTGGGCGACCACATGGTCGGGGGTGCCAGGCGGGCAGTTTGCTCCCCAGCCAGGAGCACATGGAGACTGCTGGGGAGTCAGGAAGGGCAGGACATGAGAGGATGGGGGGGTGCTTATGGGAGGGGCTGGTTTCCCTGCCTCACCCTTTCTGGAACATTCCTGGGTCCCGGCTGGCCAGGGCTGGCAAGTCCTCCTGGAGCCCCCCAGCCTGTCCCCTCTGCAAACGGAAGAGCTTTGCCTGGTCCCCTGGTAGGTTTTCGGAGCAGTTTGTGGAATTAATGGTTGACTGAATGTATGCACTGCATCCAGGCGGTGTGTGCAACGTTTATCGCTAAAAGTTAATAGCCAGAGGCACCGGGGGGCTCCGCTGGTGGAGCGTCTGCCTCTGGCTCAGGTCATGATCTCATGGTTTGTGAGTCCAGGCCCCGTGTGGGGCTCGCTGCTGTCAGCGCTGAACCTGCTTTGGATCTTGTGTCCCCTCCCCCTCTCCCTGCTTGTGGCCTCTCTCTCTCAAAAATAAACAAGCATTCAATAAAGGAATAAATGAATGAGAAATGTTAATAGCCAAAGAGTGCCTGGCTGTCTCAGTCAGAAGAGCAGGCAACTCTTGATCTCAGGTTATGAGTTCAAGCCCCACACTGGGTGTAGAGATTACTGAAATAAATAAAACTTAAAAACAAGTAAGTTGAGACAATAAAAATGAATAGCCAAGAAACCATTCTTGGGCGCACGTTCATGCGGGAGGAACGACCAGGCTCCACACCGCTCACCAGGCTGCCCTGCCTGGGGTGCCCTCTCCAGTCACAGCACAAACCTTTCCTACCGGAAGCACAGACCCAGTCATGCCAGAAAATGGGAAACAGCTGGATTTGAAAAAAAACCTGTCTGCCCCCAAACTCCAAAGTGAAGTCAACGGCATGACTTCCACATTCCAGCTAAGGACAGACCTCTCCGGCTGGCTTTCAAGGAGCCAGCGTCTCAGCAGATGAATCCCCCTCCCCCCGCCTGATGCTCACCGCACAGCGTGGGCCGGCACGCCACCATCCCCCACACTGACCGCGGCCACGTGCTGCCTAGCGCTGCCCACTATGACAGACGTCCCGCTCCGGCTGACACAGAGGCCCCGCCGGCCCCACAGCCGCTGCTCCTCCTGCTGCCAGGACCTCCCCCCACCCCCCCGGAGTCTACTCTCTCTGGGGGGACAGCATCCAGCTGCCGGTGCAGCCTCCTTCCCTCCAGGTTTGCCGCCGGCGGGGGCATGACGGTGACCTCACCGAGGCAGCAGCTTCATTTCTGCCTCTCACTTCCCTCTCTGCTGCCCTTCAAATTCAAACCACACGATGACATCACTTTCCTGCTTCCTCAAGAAAACAGCTCAATGACATCTGAGCGCCCGCTGGGGAGCCACGCTGTCTTCACAACTGTTCACTCCCAGAGCCGACTGGGGTGGCCGGCACACCTCCCACCCTCCACCGCCTCAGTGCAGCCTGTGCCCGGGGTGGACGGGGGTGGGGTGGGGACACGCGGGAGGGAAGCTCTAGGTCAGCAAGGAGCCGGGCCACCTCCTGGGCCCAGGAACGGAGGAGACGCTCCGTGAGAGAGCAGAGAAACACCAGGGCCCCTGCAGAAGCAGGCAGGCGCCCTCAGCACCAGGCACGTGCCTTGGGGGAGTGTTTTCTGCTCCCTGACTCAGCACCCCCCGCCCCTGGGCCTGCGATCCAGCGCTTCCGAGTGCTGGTGCCTGTGACTGGCCATAGAGCCTGGGCTCTGGGGCCTGGGAACTGGCAAGACTGCGTTGTGAGTCATAGGGGGCTGGAGGTCCCCCATACTCCTCTCTGCTTCCGGGTTATGTCTGGAATATTCCATAGTTAGGCTGTTTTCTAGATAATCAAACTAAACGTGCTTCTCCCAGGTCAGAGACCTGGCCTGCCCCACCCACCGCCAAGCTTCATTCTGGGTCCAAGCTTCCAGAAGGGGGGACGGGGCGGCCCCTCCCTGTAAGGCTTACAACCAATCCTTCCCCTTCCTAGGGGTTGTCTGGGCTTCGCAGGGCCCCCAGGTCCCTGTACCTTGACCATCTCCTGCAGGACAGCCAGTGCCTGCTCCTTTTCCTCCAGCAGCTGCTGCAGCCTGGAGTCCAGGTGCCCCCAGGGTCCCCCCGCCGGGTCCTGACTGGAAGGCAAACACCCAGCCTTTAACCCACAGGCTGGCGGGGATGGGGTAAGGGTGGAACAGCAGAGAGGTCAAGAGACAGGGGCCCACCCTGTGCACACACAGCAGCCGGTCTTCTCTGGAGTCCTTGGACTCTGAGGGGTCTTCGCACTTGAGGCCGTTGTGGGGCCGGGCAGGCCTGAGAGGTAAGCGGATGCTTATCTGGGGTCTCAGCCCCCAGAGAAGAGCCTGCCTGGTAGCAGCGTGCAGGGTGGGGGCGGGGCGCTGAGCCCACAGAGGGCACCATGCAGGCACCGTCTGGCCTAACGTCACCCGCAGTGCAGCCCTGGACGCCCCTGCACGGCACTGCACGGGGTGTGGACAGGCCGTGGGCTCCCGCGTAGGAAACCACAGCCCGGGAGGCGTTGGCAGCCAGGACACCCCTGCCCTCCCGGGGTGTGAACTCATCTCTCTGACGCGGCCCTTCATGGAAGGCTCTGATGGGCCTCAGTTCTCCCAAGCTGGGGACACGGGTACTACCAGTGTGCGGCGGGGCGGTGAGCTCTGCCCGGGGTCTCTCAGCAGTCCCGCCGAAGGGTCCTGGGCCCTGCATTTTAAAGGTCGTACGGTAAGGCCGGCCAAGGAGGAGCTGACACTCATTCATGCTGCCAACACCCCTCCCTACATTTCTAGCCACAGCCTGGGGGTCGGGGGTGGCAAACAGGAGCAGAGAGAGCTCGGGCTGGGCGGGCCTGGGTGGGAGAGATTCTGCACAGGGAGCTGTCATGGCCCCGGGGGGGGGGGGTCAGGCCGGAAGACGCCGGAGGGCTTCAGAGGGCGGCAGGATTCTGCAGGCCAGGGCTGTGTGGACCAGGGCCTTCATCACCACCACCAGGGTTTTACCATCATCGGCAGATAACTGGGCCTCGTCCCAACACAACAAACACAGCAGGGTCAGAGGCCAAACAATGGCACCAACACGTACGGCCATGGCAGGCGGGTCCTGGTGGGCAGCACAATCCGTCACTTTTTCCCTCAGTGCACACAAGATGGGCTCGATGGCTCCGGGCGTGTTGGCCACCACCTTTCGGATATCCGTCTCTGAGACCCACAAACGCAGCTTGTGAAAGACTTTCCTGCAAAGGAAGCAGAGCTACAGCCCTCAGCAGTGAACATGTGGGCCAGGCGGGAGGGGGGGGGGACGCTGGGCAGAGAGGCTGGGACCGGAACCCCTTCTCGCCCTGCACTTGGAGGAGCCCGGCAGCTTTCTCGTCCCCAGCTGTGCCCTCCAGGGCCAGAGCAGTCAGTGGGTCAGTGGCCTGGGCCTTCAGGCCAAGTCCCCGCCTGGGGCTCGTGGCAGGGCTGGCTTTCTGGCCCGAATCACCCCTGGTTCTGTGACAAGGACCTTTTCCCTCCAAGGTGCTCAGAATCTCACTTGTCACCACTGCTAGAGCCACCACCCTTGCACCCCTGGAGTTGACAGTGGCCTCCCCCTGCCTCCCTCTCTGGAATGAGCCCCACTAGAACCTGCCCAGGTCTCAGCCCTGCACTCCCTCAGACCTGCACTCCCTCGAAGGCTCCAGGGTTCCTGGGCAGCCTGCGCTCCCCTCCCCATCCAGCCTCAGGGAGTAAGGGACTCTACAGCCCGCTCCCCATTGCAGCCTCCCACTGCACCCCCAGGTCACCCACACTTCACTCTGCTATCATTTTCTCAGGGTCCCAGTCCTTCATATCACTCCTTACAACCGACGCTGGTGACATGTCCTTATTTATCACGTCAGCCCCATGAAGGCAGGGCCCATTCACTGACGTGCCTTTAGTGCTTGGAGCAGAGCCTGCCACCCCCCCATAACTATTGCTGAGTCAGGAAGTGAGAGGTATGGGCACGGGTCGGCTGGACACCTGCTGAGTGGCTCTCAAGCTGGCTGGTGCCGTCCTCTCAGCCAGGAGTCTGGGCTGATGGGGAGGCTCCAGGGGACAGGGGCACAGACGCTGACAGAGAAACAGCCCAAGAGCTTGTCCCAGAGGCCAGGAGGGGTGGGGGAGAAGCTGCCCACCCAGGCCACCTTGGAGGGAGGGCCCTCTTAGAGCACGGCCTGGGGCTCGGACAGGAAAGGCAGGGAGGCGGGAGGCCTGCCTGTTGAGAATGCTCCAGTTGCTGAGCTTCTGGTCAGTGTTGCAGGTGGGGACATAGTTGTGCAGATCCACGAGTCGGGGACAGAAGTGCTTCACAATCTCTGCCAGCATCACTGGAGGGGCAGGGGGTGCAAGGTAAGCCTGGCCTGATGAGCTTAGAACCCGTCCTTTCCGTCTCTCAGGGCAGGAGAACCGGGGAGGGTCCAGGACCTGGGGGGGGGCGGTCACAGGGGCGAGGCTGGAGTGCCACCCTCCTCAGCAGGGCGTGGGTGCCCCAAGGGAGGCGGCTGAGAGCCGGCCTGGGGTCAGAGGAGCTGCTGGAGGGAACCCTAAGGCTGCCTCCATCCTCCCCGGGGAATGCTGGGAGGGGAGGGGAATGCCCTCTAAAATGCAGCTGAAAGCACCCGGCGGCCCCTCTCTCTGGCCGCATTCGGCGTCCTCCAGGGGCCGGCAATGCAGCCCCCCCCGTTCTACCCCCCCCTTCCGCAGCGCCCGCCACGTCCCGCTCTGGGGTCTTCGGACTTCCCAGGAGCCTACTGAAGGCCGGGCCGGCACCCCGAGCCCTCGGCCCGCCCCTGGACCCCAGCCCTGGCGGTCCCCGGCGTCTCCCCGGCCCTCAGCTTGGCCGCCGCCCTGCCCGCACCGCCGTCGCTGAAGTCCCGGGCCAGGTGGCGCTTGGGACGGCTGAGCGGGAGCCCGTCCAGCCAGGCGCAGAGGCCGCGGAGGGCGCCAGGCGGCAGCGGCTGTGGCGAGGCCCGCGGGGCCGGCCCGGCGGCGCCCAGCATGGCTGCGGGGCCGGCTGTTGGGGCGGTTGCCGAGAGACGGCGCCAGAGGCCGGAAGGGGCGGGACGCCGGGCTGGCTGTTGGGGCGGTTGCCGGGAGACGGCGCCCAGGAGGGGGCTGGAGGCCGGAAGGGGCGGGACGCCGGGCTGGTTGTACCGGAGGTTGCCGGGAGACGGCGCCCAGGGGCCGAAAGGGGCGGGGCACTGGGCGGGCTGCAGGGTCGCCAGGCAAGCCCCCCAGGTTGGTACCCTGCGGCGGCCAACTTTCTGAGGGTGAGGGCTCCCCCTAAAGTCCGGGTGAGAAAAATGTAGAATTTTGGCGTTTTCCGTTTTCAGTGTTCATTTTATTTTAACAAGCACTGATCCCTTACATGTTATACATTGAATTCCACATTATTGAGCATACATACACTCTTCCATCGATTTAATAAGAAACTCGCATCATTGAGAACTTGATCAATAACTTAATCATAAAACACACACTTTTCATTGCAGTTTCGGTTGCAGGCACGCCCGGGACTTCCAGAGCAGCAGCTGGGGCCGCAGGTGCCTCTCAGGGTCCGGGCCCTGTTAGCATTTCTCACAGTGGAAGCGCCCCTGGGGGAGGAGGGCAGGGAGCCCGGGTGGGGGGTGGGGCGCCGGGGGTGCGGGGATCCGGGCAGGGGGCACGGCGTGGGGAGAGGGGGTCTGGCCCTGTCTCCTCCGTTAGCACTTCTCACAGCGTACGCAGCCCCCAGGGGTGGAGAGCATGGGGGGCAGGCGGGGTCCCTTCAACATGAAGGACAGGTGTCTCCCCACTGGCGCCAGGGCTGCAGGCACCAGGAGTCACCTTCTCTGCACCGGTGGCTTCAGAGCAGCCTTGGGACAGACGACACCCTGGGAGGAGAAAAAATCCATCAGCTTCGCCAAGAGCACAAATTAATCTTACTTCCTTTTACATTTAAGATGCAGGTCTCTGTTCATGCAACATGCAGTGGTTCCCGTGCAGTGACAGCAGTGTGGGCCACAAGCCACAAGCCCAACAAAGCTGACGCCTTGTAGCCATTAGACTTTCTTACTGGTACGAACAGTTGGAAAAGGCAGATTCGCAGCCAGTAGGAGTGGCTGTCAGGGAAAAGTCCTCTGATGTATAAAGTGGATGTTAGCCCTACAGCCAGGACAGTGTCAGGGCAGTGTGGTGGGGAAGACGCTCACCCAGCTGCCCAGGGCCCTGGGTGGGAGGGGCTCACCTGCAGGGGCCTGGGATCGGCTCCTCCAGCCCCAGGCTTGACTGGTGGCCCTGGGGGTGGGAAGGTCGGCTTGACAACCTGCAGGACACAGGAGACGGAGGAGACATCTGATGGCCGCTGGGCGTAGAACGCCCCAGGTCTGCCCTGCTCCCGAGCACCTTGTAGAGTGCCCCCAACACATGGCTGCCACCACCGGCAGACTGAGGCCCAAATGTGGCAGAACCCCATGCCTGGGCCCATCAGCCCCGACCTATGTCACCGCCTCCCCCTCTCCCTCAACATCCCACCCCACCCTAGCCCAGCCCAGCATTTCCCAAGAAAAGCTCTTAAATTGCCAGAATGTAGTCTTTGGAAGTTCAAAGGCCAAAAATTAACCACTAAAATTTGCATTTGTTTGCATATCCGGTTCAGGGGCAAGGCCTGGGGATGCGGGGTGGGGGGGAAGGCCCTCCAGAGCTCAGCCCAGGTCACCCAGCCCCGGGGAAGACGCTGGGTGTGCAGTTCCCAATCACCACTCCTTGGCCAGAAACCTTTCTGCCTTGCCTGCCCCTGTCTTTCTGTCAAAACCCCTCCTAAGGCTATTTTTGCAGCTTTACTCTAAGTCTAAAATTAGTTTAAAAAGTTATGAAGAGAAAGAATCTCCATTAAGCAAACACCACAGTGAAGGTTGCTTGCTGGCAGGGCCCACTGACAGACACAGACACAGGGGTCACCGTGGAGGAAGTAATCGATTGTGTATCTCAAAGCATCTCCAGATGTCAGCTCCAAAGGGACACCAAGGACTTCACAGCAAACAAGCCGCAGACACTTCGGGTCCGGCCATGTAGGCCCTGCCGCCAGCGAGGGGCACAAATGTAGCTGGAGGAGGCTCCTGAGTGGCAGAGACTTCTCACCTGCTTGGGCTTCAGTTCAGGATGGGGCTTGGCAGGCGGAGCAGGTCTGAGCTGGTGGCAAGGAGGGGCAGCAATCAGGCCCCAGGGGTCTAGTACATGTGCTGTCCCTCTGGGCTGGGCCATTAGCCATCCTAAGGTCCCGGGCCCACCAAATCCAGTCCCCAGATGGCCTGGCTGCTCAGGGCCACTACCGCTCACCTGGGCTGGGGGTGGCCGGGTATACACAGGAACCGTGAAGGGTGGGCTAGACATGGCGGCTGGAGGCTGCAGGGAACAGACGCAGCCTGGGTCTCACAGGGAGGCTGCCAGCCTCCAGCTGCGGCCCCAGCTCAGGACACAAGCTTCCCGCCCTTCCCAAAAGAGGAATAAAGTGTGTGCCTGGAGAGCTCTCCCTCACCCCACTGTCTAGCAAGGCCTGAGCCCGGATGTGACTCCCACGCTCCCTTCCCTCAACCTTGTTGTGGGGGGGTCGGAGGGGGTGGGTGGCAACGGAGGGCATCTGGGCCTTAACACCTTCCGACTGACCGTGCAGAGGCCAAGAGCCTCAGGTTCACGTTCAAGCTCCAATTCTGTCACTGGCTCATGCGGGTTCTCAGACTGCCAGCCCTAAAGCCTGCCTCTGCCTCTGCAGGTGAGCTCTAAGCCCTGTTGTGAGGGTTGGGGTGGCCTCCAAAGCCCATGGGGGACAGCGGGGACAGCGGGATGCAGTGCTTACAGCAGGGGGCGGCTGCCTGGGGGCCGCCCTGGGGGCTGTGGGCCTGGTGAGCTGGCCGTGGTGGTGGTGGAGGGCCGCAGCCCCACCTGTGGCAGGCACTCCGTGCCCCTCGTGGAACAAGGGGTTGGAGAGCCCTACGGCGGTCTTGGGCGCTGCAGTCCTGGGAGAAAGCAAGACCGGTCAGGGTGTCCTGGCCTCGGGGTCTGACCCAGCGACCCAGGGGCTCCTGGGTGTGTCCTTCAGCCAGCAAGATGGAGTGAGGTCCCGTGGCAGCTCGGACCCTGGGCGGTATGGGCCGGCTTCTGCAAGCCCACATCATCCACGTGTTCTGGCACCAGCAAGGGCTGGGGAGGTTGGTGGGGGGGGGGGGGTTGGACACAGGGGCAGACCATCCACCTGTCGCCAAAGCTCGTCACCTGTCTCCCCCCTCCCCCCCGGTGAGAGGCAGAGGCCCCAGTCTCCAGGAAGGGCTGCTTTTCTTCCTCAAACAGCAGTGGGGCGTTTCCCAGCTGCAAGCAGGGGAAGGGCTCCCTGCACATGACGACACATGTGTCGCAACCCCAGGGCAGGCTCACCCCCAAAGTTTGCGGCCCCGGGCCTTTCGGTAGATGACTGCACCCGCCAGGAGGGCCAGAGCCCCCAGGAGCACCACAGGGATCAGCACGGCCATCAGGAGGCTCCTGGACCCTGGAGGGGCGCACAGGGCCAGGTGTCAAGAGGATAGTGAGGGCTGGGAGGGCCCTCCCTAGAGCCCAGGGCCTGTCTGAGGACCCTTAGCACGGAGACCCAGTACGTTACACCAGCGCTCCAGACTCTCAGATGAGGAGTTGGGGGGCTTGGCGATGGCTGGCCCCGGGCCCACAGTGACGTGAGTCAGGGCCGGCCAGGCCCTGGAGGTGGTGGTGCTGTGGCTGGCTGCACGCACAGTGGCTGCTGCAGGAAAGACATGGTAGCAGTGGGGTCCCCTAGACGGCTGCACTCAGAAGAGGGCCAAGGACCCGGCAAAGGGGCGGGCGCTCCCTGTCACTGCTCCTGTGCCCTCCCCCTAGGATGGGCCTCTTGCTTGTCTCACTGGGACCCAGGTGGCCACACAGACCCAGACCCAGGGGGCCAGAAAGTGCGGGGTCGGATCTAACAATGCCCCGAGAGACCTGGGGGCACCTGGTGTCCTTGTCAGCCCTGTCCAGGTGGTGTGGACCCCGTCAGGCTGTATAGGCGCGCAGGCCCCAGGGTGGCCAAGCCTACCTGTGCGCACGAAGGGCAGCGGCTCTGTGCAGTAAGGCGGTGCCCAGCCCGGGTGGCACTGGCACTCCTCCTTGTGGTTGCACACCTGGAGGTGAGGGGGGTCAGGGCCAGGCCTCTGGCCTAGGATGGGCTCTGCCGCGGCCCCCAGCGATGGCGGACAGGCAGGGCTCACCCATGAGCTGCCACAACCAAGGGCCCGGGGACGCGCCGACCACAGAGGAGGGCCCTGCTTCCCGGCACCGCTGGTCAGGGAGGCGCAGGGCGGTCGGCTTCCTGTGGGCTGTTCTCGGGGCCACCCCCAAGCCTCCCTGAGATAGGAGCCCCAAGGGGGGCGCTCCAGCCCCTTGTTTCAAGTTCTGGTTCCCTGCATCACCGCACAGGTTACTGAGAACTGACCACAGCCGCCACATTTCACAGTGGATCATTTCAACTATGAGCGGCCCACAGGCCCCCAGCAGGCTACCCTGGGCCTCAGTGCTCGCATGGGACGCCCAGATCCCCGCCAGCTCAGTCCCTTAGCTTCTGGCACCGTCTCGCAGGTGCTGCCCTGCCCCCTGTCCACCTGGGCTCATCTTGAGCACCGCCTACTCGTCCCCTTCAGCCCAAAGGGCAGGCGGCAGGGTGTCCCGTGGGCTCACATACCCCATGGTTGTTGCACCGGGCGGAGCAGTTTCTGGATCTGTAAACTTGCAGCGGCTGGCAGTGTCCTTTCCAGCAAATCTGAGAGCAGCAGGGATCTCCTCAGGCAGCCATTCTAGATGCTGCTGAAGCCTCTGTACCCCCCACTTCTAACGTTGGCTGAAGCTGGCTCACAGCCTGCCTGGTGAGCTTTGGGGGAGGTGGGCTGTGGTCCCCGCATCCAGGCTTGGTGCACATGCCCTCTGCTGGCCGGCTGCCTAGCCCACCAGGGCCAGAGGACTGGCCCCACCCACCCAGGGGTGCAGTGGGTGCCTTGTCGGGGGGTGGATTTGCAGAACAGAAAGGGCTTCAAACCACGTGAACAAAGGACAGGCTTCTTCAGCACCCTCCCTGTGCTCCCGAGTCTACTGAGAACACAGAGGAGTCCGTGTGCACAGCCCTCGGGCCACAAGTTTAGGACCTGTGGGTCCAGCAGCCTGACGGCCGTGTGGGGCACGTCCAGGCTCACGACTGGGTCACAGCCCGCAGAAGCCCCTGAAAGCCGCAGCCAGCTGATGTGCCCTAGAGCAGACGGGGCTAGGGGGCTCCGGGAGCTCACCCTCTCCACGCCACACTTGGTGCCTTCGGGCACTGGCTCGTAGCCAGCACCTTCCTCCAGCACGAGCGCCTGGCAAGTGGCCGGGTAGGAGGTGAGGCTGCATGAACTCCGCTCTGGGGGTTTCTCTCCCCCCTCACAGTACAGGACGCCACACCTGTTGACCCTGTGCACAGAACACGCCATGCTCTGCTGGGCCCCTGCCTGGCGCCCGCTGACCCCCCTTAGGAGGACCGGGGGAGCTGCGGGAAATGGGGCCCAGAGCCCTTGGACAGGCTGCGGGGGGTCCACTGAGGGGCAGCCCACCGAAAGGCAAGGTGGACCCCTGGAGAGCCCCCGACTCAGTCCCCAGGCAGCCCTGCTTACAGGGACACCCCATGGTCCTGCACCCAGGGCAGTCAGGCCACGACCCCTCACCGGCTGGAATCAAAGGGGATCCCACCCTTGCAGTCCGGCGAGAGGCTGTAGGAGTAGCACCTTTCCATGGCGGCCCGTGAGCCTGTGGGGGCAGGGGGTCAGTCCTTCCGCTCGGGACCCAGGGCCGCCCGCAGACCCGCGGGCACCCGCCTCACCTGGCCCCCACAGGTCCTGGCACCTCTGGGCCAGCGTGGGGCAGACTCCATTGTAGCAGTAGCCCCCCGGGCAGGGTGTGCCGTTCTCTCGGAAGGCGTCCTCTGGGCACCCTGGCTGCTGGCCGTCACAGTGCTCTTCAAGGTCACATGCATCCTTTGGGCGACGGCACAGCTCACCGGCGGGCGTCACCTGCCCGGCAGAGCAGAGTTCACCTGGGGAACTCAGGCCCCTAAACGGACCCACACCCGCCGCGCTGGCAGGCATGCGCTCGGGGGCCCTTCCCACCCACTGGCCTGGGGGCACAGCCAGGCTGGGGCAGGAGGGGCGCCGTGCTCACCCTGCACTCCCGGCAGCAGGCACCCTGTGCACACTGGGCCCCGTGGGCCAGCTGGCAGGTGGTGGCATTGCAGCAGGGGTTCCGACAGTCCTGGGGGGCAGGGTTAGGGTTAGGGTTGGGGTTGGGGTTGGGGTGTGTGCAGCGAAGGTCAGAGCGGGCTCCAGGGGGGCCCCAGGAGCCCCTCCCCAGCAGCCCCTGCGAGTGGTGACAGGTGTCAGAGAATGGGAGTCTTTTCTGACGTGTGGCTGCGGTGTGCGGGGCACCTGGTGGGTCAGGCGCGGACCCCCCCCTCCACGTGCGGGGTGGAGCGGGCGCCTGTGTACCTGGGGCGGGCCGCAGTCACACTGCTCCCCGTGCTCCACAAACTGGTTCCCACACACGGGGTCGCCCACCAGCCGGCCAGGGTCCGGGGCGTTGTCCAGGCAGCGCGTCCGGGGTTTCTCCACGAACATCTCCAGGTCGGTGCGGCTGCATTGGCTGAACATCCTGGGGAACTTGATGCTGGGGGCGGGGGGTGACTCCGTCAGCGGGGAGGGAGGGAGGCACGGGGAAACCCCACTCTGCCGGCCTCCCTGGGCCTCACCCGATGCTGGCCGCCATGACACAGCCACCGCCCTCCCGCGGCACGGGGCAGTAGCAGCCCTGCACGTTGTCGTCGTGGTCCATGCCCAGGTTGTGGCCCATCTCGTGGGCCATGGTGGACGCCACACCGATGGGGTTCTGGTTATGGTCCTGCAGGGAGAGGCTGTGCTGGCTGGTGCCGCCCGCCACCCCCCAACTTCGCGCCTCACCCACACTGCCCCAGGTAAGGCTGAGAGCTGGGTGCGCCCTGCTGCCAACCACGCTTCTTAAAGCTTCAACCCATCCTCTGGGGGAGGTGGCCATCCAGGTGTCCCAGCCCATGGGGACAGCTCGGGGACAAGCACGTGGACCTAGGTGCCAAGGGCTCCCCCTCACGCGCTCTGGCCCCAGCTCTGAGCCGGGCTCCCCACCCAGAGGCCAGCAAGCCTGGGCCAGATTCCCCGCGCACCTGGTTCACAGCCCCTGAGGCCTGGGAGCACATGGACGACACCTTAGCCAGTCCCACGGTGGTCCCGGCGAAGTCGACCCCGCTGGAAACAAGAGGGGCGTGTGGACGTGGGTGCCCTGAGAGCCGCCCCCCTTGGGCGCGCCCTGCATTCTCACACAGCCCCCCCGGCCTGCAAGGGCCCAGCTCTCTGCTTCCGCCCCCGCATACGTGATCAGCTGCGCGTTGTCGTGCTGGTGACGCCCTGCCAGCCTCTGCGACCGCCAGATGAGGAAGTTCTCCAGGGTGGTGTTGGCGTGGGAGCTCACGTGGATCCCGTCCACCTGGTTCCAGATCTCCAGGCCCACCAGGACCACACGGACGTTGAGCTCCTGGTAAAGCTTCGAGGGCGGGGAGCCCCCCGGTCAGGCTCAGGGACCCAGAGCCCAGCTCACCTCCTCGGGGGCCTCCCCTCTGCCTTGCCCCTCCCATCTCGACACCCGGGGCTTCTACTGAGCTGGGAGGGAGCAGCCCCCACCTTGTCCACATGGTTCACCACCTCCAGCACCCGGCTGCGCACAGCCTCTCTGCTCCCCAACAGCTGGAACTGAAGGGCAGCAGACCGTCAGGCGCACGCGGCCCGTCGGCCGGCCCCTGCCCCACGTCCCGCCCCACACTACCTCTGCATGGTCCGTGACCACGTACAGCTCCACGTAGCGGGTGTCCCGGGGCAGCGGCCGGCTCTGGGAGCACAAGGAGCTGGTCAGCCGCCCCAGCCCCAGCCCTCCTGGCCTGGGCCCGGTCTGCACCCGCCGCCCCTCTCCCGGGGACCTGGAGCTGGCAGCCAGCCCCCTGCTCACTACTGGGGGGCCCAGGAGGCTCCCGTGCAGACTGGAGCTATCTCTGCCACTGCTGTGGAGCCAGGTCCAGGCCCGCTGGCCATGGGGACTGCGTGGAGGCCTTAGCCACCCTGACCGTGGGGGTGGGGGACAGAACTCTCACTCAGCTTCAGCTGACCTCACCGGAGTTTCGGGGATGCACAGTCCCAGCAGACCGGCAGTGCTGAAGCTGGTGGGGGCACCCACTCACCCGGGGCCTGAAGGCTGCTGAGATGCGAGGCCCCAAGGCCTTCTCCAAGCTGGTATCGCTGACCCCGCAGGTCCCAGCCTCCTGCTGCAGGTGCTCGGCCCGGTACAGCGCATGCCGCCCCTCCTCGCTGGCCCCATCCAGGGGCTCAATCAGGTGGACACCTGAGCCAGCCTGGAAGAAGCCCCTGAGGGCAGAGGGAAGCCAGTCGGTTCCACATTTGCGCACCCCCCCCCATGCCTATCTGGGGAGGACAAACCCTTGAAGGACAGGCAGTCTCCTTCTGGTGCCCAAGGACACAGGCCCCCTGGCAAGTGGTACACTGGGGACAGCATCCGGAGCCCCAGGAGAGCCGTGTAGCTTAGGGGACCGGTGACTTCTAACAGGTGCAGAAAGGCTGCTATGTGTAGCCCCGCTTTCCTCAGCCTCGGTTTACCTCTCTGGGGCACGTGGGAGGGCTGAGGCCCCGATGTGCTGACACCCTCCCTCCCCAGGGGTGCGGTGCTCACCTGAGGCCGGCACAGGTGCTGAGGCTGGCGGCAGAATGCTCATGCCCCTCCACGTGGCCCTGGTAGAAGCAGTGATCCTGCAGGAGGGGGAGAGTGATCCACAGCCCTGTCCCCGCTCTGCCCACCGCCGGCCTTGGGGAGCGCCGCCCAGGGGCCTGTACCTGCCTCCGTGGCTGCTCCACCACCTGGGAGCCATTGGCCGTGCTGTAGGTCTCCGTGTAGCCAGAGCCCACTAGCTCCCTGAAAAAGAGCCACCAGGTGCTGGGGGCACGGGGGGGACCGGCACGGGCGTGCTGAGACCCCGCAGGCCCGGCCTCCACTTACCTGTTCTTCCGCAAGTGCAGGGTGAAGGTGTGCCCTTGGGCCCCAAGGACATAGCTCACACTCTCGGGGTACGGGTCCTGAGGCAGGGGAACGAGAGGGGTCCAGAGTGAGGGGCGGAGCTCGGCTGGGTGGGGATGCAGCCCAAGGCCAGGGCGCCCTGAAACCTGAAAGACCCTCAGAGGAGGACTCGGGGTCATTCAGAGTCAGGCTGGTATTACGAGGCTGGGGCTAGGCAGGCCGGGGCTCTAAATCTCAGTTTCCCCATCTGCCCACACAAGGGTAATAACTGGGATCTCTTCCCCAGGAAGCGGGGGGAGGGGAGACAGATGTGGCCCCAAAAGGCTGCCCTTCGAACCACTGCAGCAGAGAAGGTGGGGGCAGGGTCTGTGAGGGGGCACCCCAGGGTAACCCCGTTCTGCTGGCCTCACCTCGACCAACAGTGTGTGCCACCCCCAGGGTGGGATGAGGGCCCGGCCTTTCCCGGATACTGAGGTCAGGAGAGGGCTGTTCCACACTCACAGGCATGCACACCTCCACCAAAACCACACAGCACACTCACGAGAACTTTAGGAATGCCCCCAGGCAGCCCTGGGGAATCCCAGGCCAGCACCAGATGCCTCGCAAAGGTGTGTCACCATAAACGCCCAGGCAACAGGCCCCTAGTGAGCCTTCCCCTCTAGCCTAGGAGGGATCTGACTGATCCAGCCCTCAAGTGAAACTGGGGTGTGGCCGGGGCCAGCAGGTTCCTGAAAGGCACTCCGCCCCACAGAGGGCAGGGTGAGGCAGGATGTAGGAAGGTGAGGCCTGGGGGTGGAGGAAGTGCAGGCGGCCCCTGTGGGCTGTGAGCCCCTCAGAAGCCCGCCTGGCCCTCGGCCCCGCAGGCTGCTCTTCACAACTGGCTGGGCACACTGGGAACTGCAGGAGGGACCCCCCGGGCCAGCTCCCCTGGCTGAGGCTTACCAAGTGGGAGGGCAGGGCTCGGCGGGCACGGGGTGGTGGCAGACGTTGGGGCCACACCACCTCATACTGCTCCACGTGGGGCAGGGGAGCGCTGGGCAAGGCCACTGTGGGAGAGAAGGGGGTCAGCCGGCCTGTGGTGGGTCTGTACCTCCGTCTCTGGGGGAGTCCCCGGACAGCACAGGGACCAGACACCCGGAGGAGACCCAGTTCTCCTGCCAAGGCCCAGGGTGTCAGGTTCCGAGGCCACAGGACCCTACCTTGGGTGGGGCCCACCAAGCTGCCTGGACAGCTCCTCCGCCAGAGCGCAGGGCTGACCTACACGTCTCCTCCCCTCCCTTGGGTCCAAAGGCGCACACGGGGCCTCCTCGCCATCCCGATGTATCCCATAATCGTGCCTAACTGGGGAGCCCACCGGCCTGCCCCGCAGGCCGTTCACCCAGCCCAGATCTAGAAGCTCCTAGGGACCCAGCAACAAACAGCCCTGGGCGTGGGGGTGAGACCCAGAATTGGAGAACCAAGAGACCCTTTTCTGTGTCTCCCGCAAAGTGTTAATGCAAGTGTCTCCAAAACCATTATCCTGCAAACCTCCTGGAGAAAGAGGCCCTGCCTGCCGGAGAAGTGATCCCCTCCAGCGTGGGGCTGGGGCACCACCGAACCCCAGCCCAGAGAGCGCCAGGCGCAGCGGTGAGCGCTGGGGCCAGCAGCACACTTGGGTTTTCCCCGTGCCAGAGGCGGGTCGCCGGGTGGGCGGCCTACCGCCTGTACCCCAGCCCCTCGGTCCTCCCTTCTCTGCCAGGCTGGAGGGTCCGCGTGGGAGTGGGTAGTCGCCTCAAGGCCTCGGGGTGGACAGGGAACAGTGGGGTTCTCCACCTTGCCCCGAATCCCCGCGGGACAAGTGCTGGGGAAACGCCCCAGTCTCTCCCCAGTTCCCTTTTGAAGTTTCCGTCTGTCACCGGAGGGCTCCGCGCTGAGGGCTCCTTTCCAAGCGCCCAACTGCTGAGACTGTTCCAGGGCTCGGCGGGGTGGAGAAGGCCGGGGGACGGACCCAGGGCGGCAGGCAGCCCCTCGCCCAGGCACTCACCTCGCAGCCACAGAGCGAACAGCGGGAGCCCGAGGCCGCGCATGGCCTGGGCGCGCACGGGGGACGCACACGGGCGCCCGGGGCAGGACTAGGGAGCGTGCACGGGGTCCGGGGTCCGGGGTCCGGGGTCCGGGGTCCAGAGTCCGCAACACAGCACGCGCCGGGGCCAGCTCCGCGCTCGGAACTTGGTCTGGTCTCGGCGCTCCACGCTCCGAGGAACCTTCGGAAGCGCCCCGCCCCGGAGACCGGCCCCCGGCCCGCAGCCTATAGGCGCCTCTGACGGCTGGAGGGGCGGGGCTTGGACAACGGCGGGGGGGTGCGGGGGGGGGGGCGGGGGGAGTCCCCCGCCCCCATCCGGGCGGCATCTATCCCTGGGCTCCAGGGGGATCCTGATCGGCCCCTGGTGTCCACGAGAAAACTCCACAAATGTGGACCAGCTAACGGACGGGCAGCGAACAGACCGACCCGGGCCCCTCCTTGCAAGTCAGCAGGCTCCCCTGCGCCGGTGAGGAAGCCCAGGCTCGGCCTGCAGCCGGGGGTGGGGGGGGGCGGCTTGGGCGAGGCTCCCTCTGCGGTCTGGGGGTGCTCAGGTACGGATGTGCCCTCAGACTTCCTGGGGAACATAAAGCTCCCGCACAGCACCCAGTGCCTCGGTCCGCCCTGTCGGCCCCCAAGCTGTCCTGGCACGGAGGGGGGAGGGGAGCTCCTGGCGCCTGCCGCTAATCCACGTGGGTTTGCCCTTAGCTCAGTGGCCCTGGGGCCTCGCTCTGGACACACTTCCTGGGATGATGGACATCAGTGTGAGTCCAAACCTTGGGTGAGGCTGTGGCGCCCACAGGCAGTCCCAGACCAGAGGCCAAAATTTCACAGCCCAGTAGCTCCCCCAAAGCAAAGGTAAAGAGGGACAAGCAGGGGCCGGCGGCTCCGAGGCGCCTCAGGCAGAGGAGGCAGTAGGGCCCGGGCCCCACACACCGCTGGCTCGTGAGCCGCCCCCTTCCCAGCGGGCTCTCTTCTCTTCCCTAGCTGGAGGTCACAATTATTTGGGAACAAAAACTAAAGGGCGACAGCCCCTGTGCAGGCAAAACCCAGAGCGGCTGCAGACGCACACCTGGCCCGGCCAGCGGACGAGGCCACCCGTGCGCAGCAGGACCAGCAGGGCCCTGCTCCTCGGACACAGCACCCCCACCCTCACCGCCGGCAACCCTGGGGTGCAGCGGGCAGGCCTGCTGCCCAGGCCCAGGATGGGGACACCAGGCTTCCAGGTCCCAGGGCAGGGCAGGAGGGCGGCAAGCCCAGGGCCAGGGGCCCCCCGGCTCGCAGCGAGGTTTGCACGGTAGTGGGCTCTGACAACGCGGGCGGCAAATAAGCGTGTTTGTCCCGCGGACGCCACAGCCGGGACAGGAAAGCCGTCGGCGGCTTGCGAGGCAACCCCCCCAGCGCCATGGTGCCTGTTCTGCAAGGCAGCGGCTGGGCTGAGTGCCCCCCGCACTGCCTCCTGGAGCCTGCTTCCGGTGCCCTCCACCTGCCCGCCAAGAGCCTCCTGCAGCAGGCATTCAGAGCGGAGTCTGGACAGCGACACGGGACATGTCGCGGTGGGCAGCATGGCTGAGTATGGGGCGGTGTGGTGGGGTCACAGCTGTGCCACCAGTGCCGGACCGGCCCTGCACCTCAGTGCTCCTCAGGACTCCCCCACCCTCCAGCCCCACCCGGTGGCGGGACACGAACCGTGCTGCCCCCTGGTGCCAGAGCCCAGCCTAGCTGATTTCTGGGAGACCGGGGATGCCCACCTGGACGTCAGGCTTGGCTCTCGTCCCCTGTGAGATCTTGGTAATTAATCATCTGGAAGCTACACAAATGCCACATGTTTTCACGCTTTTTTTTTTTTTTTTTGGAAAGAGAAAGAGCCCAAGTGAGTCAGAGGCAGAGCAGAGGAAGACAAAGAAAAAGAGAGAATCCCAGGAGGAGTAGAGAGAGAGAGAGGAAGGGAGAGAGAAAAAGACCCTTTCTCACCCAGAGCGGGGCCGAGCTCACCCGGAGTGGGGCGTGTCTTCACCCGGAGCAGGGCCTGTCTCACCTAATGTGGGACTCAAACTCACCAATGGTGAGATCATAACCCGAGCCAAAGTCAGATGCTTAATTGGCTGAGCCACGCAAATGACCCTCACTTTGCCTTTATTTGAGAATGAAAACAGTTTTAAAAAGTCACCCTGTTCGATAGAAGAAAGCTCACATAAACACACCTATAGAGGCGTCCAGCTCAGTGGGGGTGGCTGCTGTAAAGGGGAACCTAGCGCCCTGAGAATGAGAGCAGCTTGGCATAGGCGCCCCTCAGATCTTCTATTAAAATGGTAATGATGCACACAACACACAAGGTTCAGCAACAGTCACGTAACAGCTTCTGAACTCATTCTTCTGCAGCACCTGCTGGCCTCACTGGGCGGTGACGGCGACCCGGGGTGCAGATGTTGGGGGGCCCCGTGGGATGGGCACTTGGGGTGCTGCCTTCTGGCTCCTCTCCGCAGACAGACGCTCCAGCCGCTCCGTGTAGAAGCCGTTGAAGTCGAGTCTGCGGGAGGAGAGGGGCCAGGCTTCTGCACAGATGCCCCGGGCGCAGAGGCACCCTCCCCGGCACAGCCCACCTGCCCCACAGCCAACGGCGGGCCCTGTACCAGGTGGCCCTACCCACACGAGGGCCTTAGGCTCCAAACGGCCTTCACTTCTTTAAGCAATACTGACACCAGAATTTAAACACAAATGAGATTTAAGCGAGAAATCCAAAACCTCGAATGAAGAGATGTAAGCAGGAACATCTCCAGCAGAGCACCTCCTCTGAGCCCCTGGACGCTGGGGCCAGCCCTGCCTGGCACGGGGCCCAAGGGTCCCAGGCCCTGTACTTAGGACATCGATCCTCAACGTATGACACCTTCCAAGGCAAGGACACCCCCACAATCTCCTGCAAATAAGCTGAGCCACTGCCTCCTCTCGGAAGAGCCACGCGTCCAGAATCCATGGGCAGTGGGAACCTGCCAGCCCCAGAACCACCAACTGGCCATCCCTCCAGAGAGTGACAAGGCACAGCCAGCCCCAAAAGCTCAAACGGGGAGGATTTAGTGAGTGCCACCACGCCCCCCACTGTGTGCTCCCAGCACAGTTCCCATCCTCTCTCCATTGGCCACCCTGGCTGTCCATCTGAAAATAGGGGGTGTGTGTGTGTGTGTGACACTGCTGCTGTGCATGGCCTGGGGCTGTGGGGGCACTGATGGGGTGGCCTGGCACACGCTGGTGAACACAAACCACTATGCCTGCCCATCTGTGACTTCAGGGGGTGACGAGTTACCACCAGCAGCCTGAGGACAGAAGGCCTCACGCCCGAGTGGACCCTGGCTGTCACACCTTCCCTGAGGTGGCCCAAGGCTGTGGGGCGACGGCGGTGGGGGAGCAGGTGAGGGAAACCTGGGACTCCCAACAGGTGGGGACGGAGGACACCGCCCGCACCCACCTGGAGATGACACTGGCCATGCTGTGCTCACAGTCGCTGGTGCTGTAGAGGCTCAGTCGGGCCAGAAGGTCAAGCAGATGTGCTGAGAAATTCTTATCAAACTTGTTGATGGTGGCCTCGAAGCTGGAGGCCAGCTGAGGGGCGTCCACGTGCTCGGCCAGGTACTGGAAGCCACGGTCGGGCACCATGAGTGCCCAGCCCGGCCTGGGCACTGCTCTCTACCAGCTCAGCTTCCCTCCCCCTTCTTTTTCTAATAGAAAAAAGGATCCGGGTATATTTTCATGTGATAAAAGGGGAAGGAGTTAGGGCAACACGAAGCCTCCTGAGAGCGCAGGACGGAGACACGGTCTGGGCTGCCAGCACCTGCTGTGCTCACCCACCCACCTCCAGTGTTCTTTACGCGGCTCAGGTTTTCAAGCTAATGCGGCATTCTCTCCTGGCTCCCTCTCAGTGGAGGGAACGGAACCAGGGGCCCAGGAGCACGGGCCTGGGTGGTGCTGCAGGCCCTAAACCCCCAACGTCCCCTCCAAGGAGGCGAGGACACCTGGCCCCTCTAGTTAAGGCCAGGCTCTGACCGTAAGGACAGCAGGGCCCGCGGCGCCATGCCTGCTGCATGCCAGGCCCTCCAAGGGGCGCCCACACCTGCTCGGGGGAACTGTGGCCTTGCCCTCCAGCACAGTGGGGCTGAGGTTGGGACAAGTCGGGGGAGGAGAATCTCTGGGGCTCATATTTAAAATATAGTTTATGGTAAACTTTTTTAACCAAAAGGAAGAGTGACGGGCAGCAGCGGGTGTGCTTGCTGAGCTGCGGGCCCAGCAGAGCTGGGCGAAGCGCACCTTCCTGGCGAGCTCCTTGCGGGTGCGCTCTTCGGCCCGCTCGGCCTCCGTGGGCGGCCCCAGCATCGTGCCGTGCTCCAACATCAGGCGGCCCAGCTCACCGTCCAACTTCATGCTCTGCGTAAATCTCTTGGGGTCAGAAAGAAACGCTCCTGTTGGTGTCAACCGCCCCAGCGCAAGTGCAGTGTGCGCCTCCGCACAGCCAGGCAGTCTCTGCACGCTCGGGGACAGCAGACGCGAGCGCTGGAGCTGTGCCCACATGACCTTGCGGGTGCCGGCCAGAGGGCTGGTCCACAGACTGCCTGCAGAAAGTTTCTCCCCAGCTCTAGCCCCGTGCGGCCACAAGAGACCTGGGAACCGGGCTCCTGCGCTCTGGCAGCTGGCCACCGCCCTGCATGCTCTCCGCTGCCCCCTCCGACTCAGACCCCCTAGGCCCTGGAGCCCCAGTGAACTCTCAGTCGCCTCCTCTGCCGCCCGACAATTGCATTCTGTGCCAGTGTTTTGGGGCAACTGCTTGTAACTGAATCAAATAACTCAAGTTGGACAAAAAGAACAGCAAGTGCCCAGAAAAATGCCGGGAATAGAGGCCCACACCGGCAGAAGGGGCTCAGAGCCACAATCCTGCAGACAGACGGCAAGAGGCGAACGGGCTGCGTGGCGCCGCACCTGCATGCAGTTGGTGAACATGACGCACACGGACATGAGCCTGGAGAAGACCTTGAGCAGCTCAGGGTTGGTCAGCATGCAATCCTTCAGACAGTTGTCCAGGAAGCTTGTGTGGTGGCCCAGCACATCATCGATGTTGGATGCCTGTGAGGAGACAGGGCCTCACGAGGAGACGGACCCTTCACGGGCCTGGCTTCAGACGCAGCTTTATACAC